CAGCCACAGGAAGAGTAGGGAAGAGAAACACATTGTAGGTTTGGGTCTTTTCATGGGATTGGTGAAAATTTATAGAATAACAAATCCCGTTTTTGTGTGTATGTTTGTGTGTCAGCTGACAACTCGACAGTGGGCAATGCGGTACCAGCAGAGAGGACCAGGGTGGAGAGTGTTGAACTGGTTCTACCCCCTCATGCTAACCATCAGGTTATTTATTTATGTCTCTGTCTGTCTGCCTGTCTGTCCATTTATTATCTAATATATATATATATTATTTGTACTATTTTTGGTACTGTATGTCATAATCTTTATGTAATATTGGTAGTTTTTGTCCCATTAACTTCAGTAAAATATTTTGTCATGTTGCCATCATGCAACATAGCATAATAATCCATTCATAAATATATCTCTGAGGGTCTAAACATCAGTTTTTCAATGAATTGAAAGGCTTCTACTATTCATGCACTCTATATTCGATCAGTGTTGTATCATTATTATGCTGAAGGGTAAGTCGACTGTATCATCCTCTCTGATCTGATCTGATGTCTGCATACCAGGTGAATACATTTGGAGGACAGATCATGGCCTGGATGGTGAATGTAGCTATGATTGCTGCCAGGTACAGTCACACATACACACATTTTAAAAGCTTTATTTGAATCCACTAGGGTTATAGAGGTTACACATACATAAACACGCACTCACAGTCATACATGTGTGTGCACTCACTAGGATATAGGATGTTAATTACCTCATTGGCACACAGTGGACATACAGATACCAAGATTTTCTTCTTTTTGTCACATATCATTGGATACTGATACTTGGATTCTTGGGTTTTGAGCTGCTTGAACAAAAACAAGACATTTGAATCTGGGAAGTTGTGACTGGCATTTTTTGATGTTTCATTGCCTGAATGATGAATTGATTCATCAGTAGGGTTAGGTTGATAACCCTAGTTTGATTGATAATGAAAAGAATCATTATTTGCAGCCCAAGCTGAGCCGAATGTGCCAAAAAATTGTGAATAAAGAGAAGTCTACCAATATGCTTGCCCTGTTGTGATGTAAAGGCTTCCCTGACTGGAGCTACTCAGTGTGTTTTTATTCATTTTATTTAGCATCAGATGTTTGACCAAATCAAATGTGCTAGTGGGAAACAGCTCTACTAATAGCACACTGTGAAACCATCCGCACTCCACCCTTTACATGCACACTCTTGTTTTCAACAGCAAAAACAAACAACAGCGGCTATTTAAATATGAAGGAAACACCAAATACTTGTTTTTTGTGGGGAAAAAAACTTAAATCTAAAACAAAAATAGATCTAAAACATTAGTACTGTATCAGCCTACAACTGTCTAACACAGATACACTCATTCTTGCAAGTGTGACAAGGAAACACAATCATTCTCTTTCTCTATGCAGTCGTCTGTGTCAGGCTCACCCAACTCTGCGGTCTATCGACATGTTCACCTTCAGAGGACCTTCTCAGATTGGAGACCGACTGCTGCTGAGGGCTATAGTCAACAACGCCTTCAAAAACAGGTATCAGTGTGTCCAGAATTAGCCATAAAGATACAGATGCAGATAAGATCAAACGTATGTGTTGTGTGTGGAGAAAACAGGTCGCAGTAACAGCTCTGTATGAAATGAATTTTTTGATGACGTGTTTCCTGTAGCATTGAGGTGGGGGTGCGTGCAGAGGCCTACCAGGAGGAGGGACATAACCGACACATAAACTCTGCTTTCATGACCTTTGAAGTGCTTGACAATCACGGGATGCCATGTACGTTGCCGCGGATACGACCGGAACCCTTGGTGAGTTAGCCATCAGCATTAGAAGTGCTGATGAAGATCACACTGGTATTTTCACACTAAACATGAACACAGGTTTATTTGTGCTTACTTGATTTTGGTGTGATTTAATCCCAGTAAAAAGATAAAAAAGATTGTGGAAATAGCTACATCATTATGCTAATTTGTAAAAAGGTTGAATTTATACTTTGTTGGGTCAGTCTGCAATATGATGAGCAAACCACTTTTAAAATGCTTGTTTTCTGAACAGAGTTCAGATCAATCAGGGCTATGCTAACTTAGGTCAAAGTAAAACTGATAGCTGGAATCAAGTAACAGGCACATATCTTCAGCACTCACCAGGTAGTCCAACCTCCTCGCTTATGTTTCTCCAGACAATCTCCTTTTTTGTCTGGTTTCTGTATACATATGAAGCAGTATTACAGAGCTCTGGCTGCACACACACAGATACAAGTCGGGGTGGCATCTCCATGGTTGGCAGCAGACAGGTTGGGAAATGAGCGAAGATAGATCCACTTTTTAATTCTAAAAGTTTTAAAATATTAACTCTGAGCTTTTGTCTTGTTGGCAAACAGCTCCAGATCAGAGGTAGCATGAAATATAACTGACTTAAGCTGACTCTGACAAAAATAAACAGACAGAGACAAGAAACATTGCACCTCCTTGTGAGGTGGCATGTCTTCCAGAGTTCTTTATTTATATTCACATTATGGGCCGTTCCTGGTTTTGAATTCAGGTGTTATAAATGTACCAAATGAACATCAGACTAATAATAATATTAGTAGGCAGTTAATATCTTTTTAAATCAAGCACAGTTCATTATGCCGGGGTTCTTTGTTCCCCATTGCTGTTTCCCCTCATTTCCTGTCATCTCTACTGTTGCTTTCCAACAAAGACTAAAATAGGAACTGTCTCTGGGTTTGTAATACCTAGTCATTTGATCCATTGTTGATTTTTATTAGTGCAGCCTTAACACTTTTATCTGGATTAGAGCTCTGGCTGTAGCTCTAGCTCAGCAGCAGACCTACTGCATCATGCTAAGATAACATTTTTTGTCTAATAATAATCAGTATAACTTCTAATCTAAGTATTTGTATAGCCAGCCAAACGCAGGCAGGGCACTTTGGCGGGGAAAAACAAGTATGAAACAGTATTGGACAGTATGAAAAAACTCCTTTACAGTGGGAGAGGCTGGTGTCAGTGTTGTGTAACATTCAGAAACTGACAAACTGTTACTAATGCTATTACAACCACTGATAATAGATTGAATATGGAAAAGTTACGTGGCCAATCATTTCCCAGTTGTTACTGCTATAAACTGCAGTCATATTAACTTCAAGTTGCCCCCATGCAGCCTCTGTTTTCCAGAGCGGTATGAAGGCTCAGCTGAACAAAGATCAGAGCTATAAACTTGACTTGACTCAACAAGCAGAAAGAATGCTGGGGGAAAAATGTCACCACTCATAAACCCTTTGACGAACCGGCCTGTGTTCCTTGAAGAAGCTCTTATCACAGTGTCCTTCTCCTACATATATGAGTGCTGTGTTTATAGGGTGACATGTGAATTGGAAGACTAGAGTACTATAAACAAAAACAAACACAACCCACCCATACTGCAGCCTTTATGGGCCTCTACACATTGTGATGCAGCAGGGGTCAGATGTATAAATGAGTATTTGCATCTCAGGCAGACTGCAGACCAGCGCACACACTGGTAAACAACCCACAGAGTCTGTAAAAAGCTATTATTTACAACCACGCCTTTTCCTGACTGATCAGAACTTTTATAATTTAGTCAATAGAACTTACCTCTATTTATTTATTGACCCCTTTACTGCCAGATCTATCAACACAACACAACACAACATAACCCCTCAGCTGAGTGTGCAAGTTCCTCTATCATTGTGCTCGCATTGTTTTGTAGTGGAGGCTAGTGATAGCATTGCAATTCTCAGTTGACAATGAAGTAGCCAGCCGGACAGGCTGTTTGGCCGCCATATGTCGCTTATGGAAAGCTATGTGCTATGCACATTTCTGTCTTTGTGCGTACGCGCAGCTTTAGTTGTGAATATATCTATCACAGAGTTGTATGAATTTGGTTCCTGGTTGCATTCAGTGGGAAATTGATCTTTGATGGCTTTATGGTACCAAATGTATGCTGTGAAAGGCCAACAGGACCGAGTAGAAGGCCATTCAAACCAGCATCTTGCAACACTAGAAAACCAAGCAGGAAACCTTTGTCTGTGATAGGATGATTTCACCTCAGGCTTGAAAACTGTTACAAACTGGGCGTTGAGTTTGAGGACTATTGAGTTGCATGGTGGGAAATGTAGGATCCAGTGTTCTTGGAGATGAACCAATAGTAGAGATTCAAAGTCAGGCTGTATCACCCTCTGCTGTACACATTCTGACCACTCTTTTGTTCATCTGTCTCTTATGAGTTCCACAACTTGATGGAAGTGCAAAACCTAAACACTGGAGTATCCTGTAGGACATATAGCACCTTGACTTGACTTGAGCCAGTTCTGTCTGTCTTTCATTTGCAGGAAGGTGAGAGGCGGTTTCAAGAAGCCATAGCCAGGAAGAAGATCCGACTGGACAGGTAACCTGTTCATTCCTGTGATGAGCACATTCTCCACTTGTAGATCCATGTTCTGTGTGCCAGAAGTGATACAGTTTGTATGACATTTTCTAGTTTATTTGAATTACAAATAAGACATATTGAACATTTTGGGCAACACAGCTACCAGTATTGTGTGGAGGTGTGTATGACACAGTGCTAAATATGCTAAAGGAATACATTTAAGATGTAAATATTGGTCTACAGTGCAGGTCTAATGGTCAAACACTACATAGGATATGTGTGTTTTGTTTATAGATTGATTGTCATGTATTCAATCAGTGATGTTTTGAAAAGGTTTAATCAGACCGAGGGTTACCATGTAACCCCTCAGTTTTAATGCAATTGTGCCATGTCGTTCACTTGACAGGGTCAGAAATTCTTCTAATTGCTCTCTTTTGTTGTTTCAGAAAATACATCATTTCCCGCAAGCAGAGTGAGGTCCCTTTGTCTGTTCCCTGGGACCCCACCAACCAGGTGAGGAAAAAGCTCAGGAATCAGTCAGGACTGGTGACAACTATATCTACTATGAATAACACATTAATGGCAACTAATTTTGGTCCACATGGAGAGAGACAGTACCGGACTACATTTAAGGGGGGAATATTCAAAAACTAAAAGTTCAATGGCTGAACAGCTTTTTTTTGCCGACCTCCACCGCACCAGTTGGTCAACAATGTCACCAAGCACCGAGCTCTCTCAAAAGAAAAGTTTCATTTGCTATGCACTTATGGTAAAATAAATAACTAGAAAGCAGAGGGCGACAAAAAGTTGGCTTCTTTAAGTGAAAAGTTTCAGCAAACATGACAAAAAGTTATTTTTATAAAATGTACCTACTGCAGCTTTAATGGTGTAAGGACTTGACAAAACCTGTCAATGTGCACAGCCACACTGCAGTGTCTTTCATTCTTGAATTCAAAAGAATTAATGTATGGATGAATTCATTAAAACAGGTCTCAATCACACTTATTATATATGTTATTTAGGTTTAACTGTAGAACTATGATTTGTTTGAAATAATGACATCACATTATGACCACCCTGCAAGATACGGTTTAATCAACACCTACTTTATCAACACTGAGATAAACATTGAAAACACTACTGATAACTAGAGACTTGTAGCTCTGTATTCAATAATTGCCTCAGTCCAATCGCTATTAATATTGCTACTGTGGTCAAAGGTCTTTGGAATATTTGAGAGAGCAGTATTAATGATTCATAATTCAAGGACCATGCTAATTCTTTTCTTCAGTGCAATTCACGTATGCTTTATATTACTATTATTTACAAAGCATGTGATAGTGTTTTAGTTGATGTAACATGCTTGCTTTTGCTGAGATTGATGTTGATCAGTTAAAGTACAGCAGGTCTCAACAGTAAGAACTGTCCGATTGCCCGGTCCCGTCTATTGAGAGCTGCACAAGTGCAGTACTGATCGGGCACTCGCGAGAAAATGGCGGCAAGTAAAGACAAAGACAAAGACTTTGGGCAAGTAGTTTTCTCACCCACTTAGTCAAAACAAACATTAACATTGGCCCCTGTGAAACAATGTAGCTGGAAGGCACGTTTATTGAAATCATTATCTAAGTGAGAAATTGCTCTTTGCTTTTCTAGGGAATGTTATGGTTCAGTTTCCATATGTTTTATCAGACTCAGAATATTTGCTCTGCACTATAAAAACAGACAATGTCTTTACTGTGATGTGTGAACTATTCCCTGTAATTTGACTGGCGGTAAATGTAAATTCCGAGGTCTTTGCCATTTTAATACCATAAATAAATAAATAGAAAATCTGCCTCCATCAAAGTTTTTGACATCTTTCACTATTGTTGGTGTTAAGACTTTTAGAAGGTTGGTCAACTCAGTTAAACTGGTTAAAATACCCTATGCTCCACACTGTCAAACCAAAATACATTCCAAAACAGCTGTTTTATGGTAGGATCATATTTTTCGCAGTTAAATCTTTATTTACACCATCACTGAGACTCTTCAATCTACAGATACAATCTGCACACACGTCATTTACTCAATAATGTCATTAACTAACCTGTGAAGGTTTGCCACAGATGGACACAAACTGACTGTCCAGGTCCCTCAGTTAACAGATCTCTTCTTTTACTGGTCTTCGCTCTTTTGGGAAGTAAAGAAAATCGTTTTTTAATGTTTGATCTGCAAAATGCCACGCAGCAGCTTTTAGGCATGATGCCAGCAGGCGCCAAAAGTGGCGTGGTTGTTCTGAAGAGAGGAAAGCGACATATTACTGCTCTCAATTATTGTGTCTTCTGCTCCATTGATGTGCATGCTTATGTGTTTGCTTGCTAACATGTATGCTTTGTGTGTGTGTGTGTTTCCAGGTGTATCTGAGCTATAACAATGTTTCAGCTCTAAAGATGTTGGCTGCTAGAAACAACTGGCGCCTCAGTTCTGAGAAGGACAAGGTACCTGCTGTCCTCTCCTTGAAAGGGTTTTGCATAGAAGTGTTTTTTATATTCCCCTGTGAAGAGCTGGATGTTCCAATTGACTCTTTGTTCCCAGGTTCGTCTTTACACCCTGGAGCAGAAGTCCATGTTGAGTTTCAGGGTGGAATCAGAGGTGGATGTTCCTGCTCACAGAGCCTTTTGTCTGCTGGCTGAGCTGGGCAACAGGCCGAGCTGGGACACACATTATCAGTAATGTCTTCACACACACACTCACGCTCACACTGTGTAAACGTTCAGCAAACTGTATCCTCACTGCACGTATAAAGGTCAGGGTATATTGTACGACCGATTTTGCAGATTGACAGTCCTTAAATGTTTGCCGCCAAACACAACACACGTAAAGAAGGACACATGCACAACCACATGATATAGATAGATTTGAGTTAAGCTGAGCTGTAGGAGGCCTGTCCTGTAAAAATCTCTGCTTAATTAACTTTTCACTAGTATTGTTGCATGCAGCTACGATTAGTGTTATATATTTTGTGGTGGCTAGATGAAATGTAAACACATATTTTAGGATTCAAGGTTTGAATGGTTTATGTGTCACATTCACATAAACACATACAGATACATGTATTTGTAGTGATAAGAGTTGGAATAAAGACCCGTAAAAAAAGTGGAGCGGACAGAGTTTGCCATCCTGATGAAATGATCTTTTGGTACCCCTCTGTAAAACACTTCAACAACTTAAAATGCTTTTTGTTTGCAAAACTTAAACATATTACATATCACAAAGACCTTCATCTGGATGTGAAGAATCCAGATAGTACGGTTTGGTTTAAGTTCGTAATCGGTGCAGAAGGGATGAACATTGTATCCAACACAAAGTTCACTATGTACTGAGCCCAAATAGCATTTTTGTTTAATTTAGTCTGAACTAAATTAAACAAATCATGGACTTTAGTCTGGATTTCTGGCAGGCAGCTATAAGAGTGTGGCCAAATAGAAACACAGGTGACACTGAAAAGTAATCCATACATGCTTTTTGTCTGGGTTGAGGTATGTTCAGCAGTCAGACAGAAGAAATAGTCTGGGACGAAACCCCTTGTAAAACCATGCTCTTTTCAGGGTCTTAAAGTCTAAAATTCAATACTCTGATTTTAGACCTTAAAATGTCTTATAATGATTTTTACTGCTTTTAAAAACTGATTGGATTAATGAAGTTAACGTTACTTTTAAGTTCCATTTTTCAATTTCACTTTTAAATGTGTTTTTGGGATGAGAGTAGTATCAATCTTCAACAATGAAGTCAACATCCCTTCACTTTATTTCAAATAAGCTGCATTTGTATCAACATCCTCAGCAGCGGTATCTCTCTGTGTGCTTTCCTAAATCAGGAAATGCGAGCTGATTCACCGAGTGGACGATGATGACTTCCTGTATCGTGTGGTGACTCCATCAGTGCATCACCGTGGAGTAGGTTCCACTACTTCAGCCAGTCCGGATGAGGGAATTCTCCAGGACTTTATCTTGTTGGCCTCCAAGAGGAAGCCGTGTGGCAGCGGGTCAGTAGAGTGACGGGTTGTATGTTCTCAGTGCCAGTTCAAAGGTCACACAGCTCTGTCCTGCTGTATTTACTGTCAGTACTTGTTCTTTTCCTCCCTAGAGATCCATACGTCATCGCCCTGCGTTCGGTGTCCCTGCCCACTCACCCTCCCACTGAAGGATATAACCGAGGAGAGGTTCTGTGTGCTGGATTTACCATACTGGAGACCAAAAACAACATGTCACTGGTAAGACAAATACCGGTTTTAGCTGATTAAATGTGCATTTGTACATATAATCCTAACACACTTTCATTACTTGTATCTTTTTCCAGATCAGTTACTATAACCAGGCGTCTCCAGAGGTTCTTCCCTACATCTCCACAGATATCGCTGGCCTCTCCTCCTCTTTCTACCACATCTTCTGCTCCTGCAGCCAGTACCTGACAAGGAACAAAGAGCAGTCTGGCTCCGAGGAGCAAACCGGCCAGTACCAGGCCACGAACACAGACAGTCCCACCTGTGACAGTGAAGCTGACAGTCTGTCGGTGGGCCTGTACAGCACCCACCTGTAGACCACCAGCGGTACCTTCCAGGCCAGTTTACATCACTAAGTGTGGTGAGGTCAGGCTGCTGTTTATACAATATGGTACTAATAACACAAAAGATGTTCAAAAGATGATAAAACAAAGCTTCTGGAAAAAGTTTTAAAGATTACAATAAAGTAACTAAGAGACTAGGGCTGGGTATCTTTCAAAAAAATGTACGATATAGTTTCTGAAAGTTTTTTCTATACCAATTTTATTATACATTACAATGCAATTACTCACTTGAAAGGAGGAAGCTGTTCAAAGACCTAGGAGTAGCTGGAGAAACTGTTTTCACTCAACCTGGATAACTGATAACCGTTTCCTGTGTAAAGTTAGACAGCCAATCACTAGCATTATCAGATCTTGGTACAAACGTGCAGCGTAGCTCATTGGCGCACTGATGCTGATGAGTCTTACTTCGTTCATATCCAGATTTGGTACCGAATGACAAAGCATTTTTTGTTGTTGTTTGTATTACTCGTTAGTAACAAAGCAATTCAGGTCTGTGCCATAAAAGTATCAACGTTCCCAGCCCTAAAATAAACAATGGGCCTCATGCTAGAACCACTCATATAAACAGATTTGTCTTATGTAGCTTGTACAACAGATTTTAGAGAACTTGCACCAATCACTAATTTTCTCTTATTCTAAATTTTCTCTTATTCTAAATTTTCTGGACCACTCGTAGGAGTCATGTCCAATTTGTCTGCTGTCATCCAAACACACGTTTTTCACTAAAGCACTGTACAGTATACTGCATAACTATAAGGAATACGAGTTTGGTATTTAAATTACACTTAATAATAATAACTAATTATGTGGACATCATCCGGTTTGCCTGTACAGTTGGAATTATAATATAGTTTTAAATGTGTCGTATAGCTTAACAATATCATCATGAATTTGAATCGGCTTCGGGTTAGAGTTCTCTTCACTTTAAGGTGTATGGAGGTCCCTGTCCAGGGGAACATCCTCTGTCACAATGCCTGACAATGCATTGTCTTACTGTCGAAAAAAAGTGAGACACACAAGATAAGAATACGAAAATGTTTTTGCATGAGACCCAATGCCTTCAACACTGTATGTGTTCACACTGCATCGTACGGCTCAACTCTACTCGCTTGTGGTACCTCTACTTTCCACTGCATATAGTACTTCGATAGTACCCCATGTAGGCGCAGCTGATCATCAGTTTATAACTAAACTGTACATTTACTGCTAGATGGACAACTTCACTGCTCTCTTTTCCTCACATTCAGCACTCTTTCTCTCTTGTTCAATCACACACTTACTACACACATAAAAAGGAGCTCTTATAACAGAGAATATGAAGGGATGGTGTTCTTGATACATGTGCACTCTGTCAGTTGACCTCCGCATAGTTTTACAGGCTGCCATTATTGTGTAAATGCTAGGTAGCCCTATTAATGCACACATGTTCAACCTGAATCACATGTAAGACATAGACCTAATTTCAAAATAAAGGCTAATTCAGCATTAATTACTATGTTTGGACATAAATGATGCATTGTAATCTGTGTCACCAGTAGTCAGTTAAACAGATGTTTTATGTTAAACGGTAAAACGTTAATTTAATTGTACATCTAACCACGTGTGGGGTCTATAGGAATGTAGTTTTTTTTTTTCATAAACACTAACAGCATTAAATGGTGAGAGAACAGCAATGTGCACAATGTTACACATTTCTTTTGATGAACAATTGATGTTTTGTATAACACTTTCATAGGATTTTAATAAAAAGTTTTTTGTACAGAATATAAATGTCTGTGTTCCTTCCAATCAGAATTCAATGGTAAACTACAGAATATAATTGTATTAAGCCACCTAATGTAGTCCATCATTTTGCTCTAGACTATTTATTTACAGTTTTCATTCAGTGGAGTATCTCAACATGTTTTCCACAGAATGAATCCTACTGACTTTAGGGGTCCCCCAGCTTTTCCTCTACCGCTATCATGAGGTTGAGATTTTTCGTTTTAATAGAGCTATCTAACTATTAGATGGATTACTTTGAAATTTGGGTCTGATATTCATGGTTCCTAAATCATATATTGTAAACTTTTATCTCTTGACCTTTTATCTAGCGCCATCACCAGGTCAACATTTCTGCTTGCTTTATGACCACTTACCTACAAAACTAATGACCTTCCCATCATCATTCAGAGAACCAGGGTTATAGAATGTTAGCCTATGTTTTATTTCAATTCAGTGCAAGACATGACAACTTAGGCACTCTTTACGGCATTATCAACCATCAACCATAAGCCAATAAGCTGATTGCATTAGCGCTCCAATATATCAGTCAGGCTCTGGTTGATTATAACATCCTTAATGTTGCACTGTAAAAAATAACAATTTGTTGTGTGTTTGTTAATATCCATCCTCAGTTTATTGATCAGATATCACATACAGGTTTGTGTTTACTTTGCTTGAACGCTGGGTCATTAGCCCTGCGAAGACAGTGAAATCTCTTCTTTTTGGGTCCCCCTCCACTATAAGGTCATATCTGTCCATCATTCTGATTAAAGAGTGAAGTGCCTCCTGTCCTCTTGGCAGTGATGCTATGTTCAGATGTAGAGCCACTCGCTGAGACAAGCATGTCACTGTTGCTGGGATCAGAGGACGCCAGTTCTGCTCTGTCAGGACGAGGGTGACGTAAGGGAACAGCCTCTCTACTGAAGATACAAACTCCTGAAAGAGAGAGGAGGAGGTTACAAAAAAGGGTTAACACTTCTGTACTGTGTGGAACAGAAGCACAATTAAAAGCACCTAAACCTAAAAAAAAAATTACGTAATACTTAAATGATGGTACTGTACGGTATCAGTACCATCATTCAAGTATTACATAATTTTTTTTTTAATCTACTGTATGTTGGCCTGATAATAACATAATTTGACAAAAAGGAAGGTCCTACAGTGTTCTTGCAAGTTTAAGTTTCTTAACTGCAAACCATATACATATATGATGTTGTTCTCAAGGGGGTAAAGGGGGTCAGGACATCAGGATCAACAGGTATGAAAAAGTGTCATCTGCAGTGCAGTGAAAAGCAATGTGCTTATGGAGGATGACCCCTAGTGTTAACAGACTGAACAGTAATAGACCCAGAACAGAACCTTGTGGCACTCCATATGCAATGTCTATTCTTTCTGATAAATAAAACAACATTATTTGCCATTGTGATTTAACATATCTATAATTGTAGTAATTGGCATCAGCTTTGACACTAAATACTGGATTTGTTTATTTCTAATGGCTGACTAGAGAAACCTTACCAGTGCGCTGTGACAGGATTTGAATGAAACCTGCCATTGGGTTCTTAAGAAGCTGCTAACACAGCTTTTATACTCTTAATCTAACAGAATAAACTGTGGGAAAATCTGACTTTTGATATAAAATCTGTAGAAATTCAAGTATCGTGTATCTAAAACCAATGTTGGAGAAAGCAAATCAGTGAGACAGGAAGCTGCATACCTTTGTGTTGTTGCTCTGCAACCCTTCCATGCTGATCCAGACAGGTCTGTACAGCTCCTCCCTGCTGTAGGCTGAGTGCAGCAGTTTGAGAGAAGCTTCCAGAAGCTGCTGAGTGTGAATCCGCAGGTAAACACCCCAGGGGACATCAGCTCTCTGCCCGAGCAGCTGCAGGACGTCCTGCCAACACATACACACAGATAGCCTTATTTATCCACATGCACATTTGTGGTGTTTAAGTCAATGACGCAGCAGAGATAATGGAAATACATGAGGTGCACAAAACTACTAATAAGACGACAGAACTGCAAAGGAAGACACCAGCTCAGTTTGTGCTATGTGATTACACATGTGAGTCCACTAAGCTCACAGAGAGTTTTATTGATAATGTCACTTGCTAACCTCTAAAATGTGGAGTAATTTGAGTTATAGATATAAATTACATATCCAGAGCCGCCACCATGTTTTTCTGTATTGGAATTCTAAAGCAAAGACCTGTTTTCCATTAATATACCTGCAGTGTGAGGGCTTCTGAGCTCTTTCCAGAACCTTCCACCAGAGGGACTCCAGGCTGGTTGCTGTCCGAAGCCACCCGGACCACCAACATACCAGCAGCACGATCTGGACAAACACAGACGGAATAAACAAGACTGTAAAGGCGAACAGGATCACTGCTTCATTAGTGTCACTTTATGGGTCAAAAGACCAACAGTGTCCGCAAGTTTACATCTGTTTGACACTATCAGGATTTCATGACTGAACACATTGAAGCAATGCAGATACAAGTTCCCGCTTTCACAGCAAACTAACCATTTCACTGTCAACCACAGCACATGGGAAAGAAATTAATTTGCTTTATTTGAAGATTTAAGGAAATCTGAGTCATTATGTTTTTAATCATGTACCATGATTAGCTTTTCATCACTTTTGTGACACAAATATTTTTTTGTGAAAACTGCCTAATTTGCTTTGCATTTTAAAACCACTTTCAATTTTGCTATTATGATTATGGCACCTTCAAATGATGGTATTCTAGTGGCAGAAGTTTTTGTGTTTCAGTGCTTGCTACTACCACCAGATGGCCCTAAAGTAAGGCATTTAAAGACTTACTGGTGACTGAGAAAATGCATTGATGAAGCATTTCTGCATAGCAAAACAGCCTGCTATCAGTACATAATTTTTTTGAGTGAAAATACAGAGTGATGAAAGTGAATGTCTCAATGTCTAAATAAGAAACTGTGCAAAGAAGCAGTTTTTTATATCTACATACCTGAAAGCTGAACCAACAGGGAGGTCCTGTCAGTGACTGTAAACCAATGGACTGCCAGGCTGTTGCGTTGCGAGACTGTGGACTTGAAGCTGGTGTCTGACTTGTGAAGTGGATAGAGGAAGTCCATCAGGTCTCCTCCAGGATAGAATCTCCTCAGATGGCCCTGCTGCCCTGTAGACAGAATCTATACATCAATAAGTATTATTCATGGGCCCTGCAGGGAGGTAAATGACTTAATGCCAAATTTGTTGTTTGTTTCTGTGTTTTTATGATTGCTGCAGCACAAATTGGCCACTTGGGACAAATATTAAATTAACTGAATTAAATTTAATTGAACTGATAAATTTCAAACTGATTTATGAATCCATGAATTCAAAGTGTACCTCTTTATGAGCAATGCAAGTAATTTTCAAAATCAAATCCAATAAGAAATCAAGTGTGCAATATTCAAAAATGTATAACTAAGTTGCTCAAAGTGAATTGGTTATTTTTGCATCTAAAAATTCAAGTCAAGTAAAAAAATTAAGTTCCCCAAATTGGATTGGAAAATTCAAGATGGAAAACTGAAACATCCAGGCTACCAAGAATAATCAATCGAGTGAATGAAATAAATCAGATTTCTGTAATATCAGCGTACCTTCTGTCAGCTATCATCCAAACAGAAAAGTTCAGATGAACGACTGGAAACTCTGGATGCTCGAATCAGAATCTTTTTTTAGTTTGGCTTCAGTTTAGGCTCAAATGTAGTTTTTGCTACAGTAATGCAAATCCTAAATCGTAAATTTTCTTGTACTAAAATGTATTATTCGTTAATTTTTCTAAAATAAAAATAAAAAACTATAAATGAGACGCAGCTTGGTTGGTTTGAATAGTTTTTTTGTATTTTTCCTCTTTCTTTGAATGAGGTTTAGCTTGAAGGCTTATTCTCCTTTCTTACTTGCAGCCAGTTTAAATTCAGACAGCGTTGGTTCATATATATCGTAGTAGACTCTAGAAGGGTGGGTGTGCTGGCTCTCCAGCATACAGTCCTATAT